ATTCAACCCTGGAACAATGCTTTACAGATGGTGAGAGAAGGACCAATAACCCCTGAGAACCCTGAAAGGTACTTTGTGGAGAAAGACCTATTATACAGAGAGGTCTTAGTAAACCCTCAGAGGGGAGGAAAAACATTCACAAACAAAGGGGAGGGGAAAGTCTTCATAAACTGATAATACCTACAAAATACAGAGAAAATCATAATAGAAAAGGGACATACAGACACCTTTGCTGCTCATTTGGGGATCACATGCACTAAGCAGAAAATAGCTCAGAATTCTTACTGGCCTGGAATGGGGAAGTAGATAAAATTATATTGTCAAAGCTGTGACATATGTCAAAGGCAGGGTACTGGCAATGATAAAACTAAAGCCAAGTTGTGCCCTTTACCTATTATCTCAACCCCCTTTCAACGTATAGGCTTAAGCATTGTGGGACCACTGCCTAAAGTTACCAGACAGGGAAACAGATTCATACTGTCTATAGATGATTATGCCACCTGATATCCGGAAGCAGTTACCTTACAAAATATGGAAACAGAGACAGTGGCAGATGCCTTACTGAGTTACATGTGTCGAATGGGCTTCGCTTCTGAGATAGTCACTGATTTGGGAACCTCATTTATATCTAGATTAATGAAAAGGCTGTGGCAACTTTGTGGCATAACTCACATTACATCATCCCCATATCATCCCCAAACTAACGGATTAATGGAGAAATTTAATGTAACCATCATACGTATGATCAGAGCTTACACTGCAGAAAACCCCAATAACTGGGATCACAAATTACAACACCTATTGTATGCATATCAATCTGTACCCCAAGAAAGTACTGGATTCAGGCCATTTGAACTGTTATTTGGGCAGGAAGTGCAGGGACCCCTAGATTTACTCCGGCAAAATTGGGAGGAACAAAAAGGAGAAGATCCTGAGACAGTGATCCAGTATATAGATAACCTAATGAACTCCTTGAAACAATCTCTGGAGTTAGCAGCAGAAAACCTGCAGAGCCAGCAAGGGAAGCAAAAGCTATGGTACAATAAAAGGGCCAGAGAGAGAACATTCAATCCTGGAGATGAAGTGTTGATTTTAAAACCTATTAAAGGTAATAAACTGCAATTAAATTGGGCAGGTCCTTTTAGAATAATCTCCAAAATGAGTGAAGTAAATTATATCATTCAGGAGGAGGGAGAAACAGGTCGAAGAGTGGTCCATGTAAACATGATCAAGCCTTACTATAAAAAGGAAACGTCTTATATGCCATGAAAGATGCGGACAATGAAAGACATGAATTACCCTATCGGGAAGAGAGGGGCAAACCCAAATTTAACCTTGAAGAGGCTGAAATCAGTCACACGCTATCCCTAGAATGACAAAATGAAGCGAGAGCCTTGCTGATGAAGTACAAGCAGGTCTTCTCAAACAAACTGGTGTAGCAAAGGGAGTAGTGTGCAAAATTGATACAGGAGATGCCCCTCCACAAGCTGTCACACCTTACAGAGTAACAGGGCCATATGTAGCCAAGGTTCGCCAGGAACTCGACAAAATGCTTAAAGAAAAAAATCATTGTTCCTTCATCTAGCCCGTGGGCAATCCCAGTAGTATTAGTGGACAAACCAGATGGCAGCATCCACTTTTGCCTGATGCTTACCCAATGCCCCGGTTAGATGATTTAATCGAAACTCTAGGAGGATATCAGTTTATATTGAGTTTAGATCTGACTAAAGGGTTCTGGCAAATGGGGCTAGACCCCAAAGACCAGGAAAAGACCGTGTTCAGTAGCCCTTTTGGATTGTATGAATTCCGTATCTTAAGTTTTGGATTGCGAAATGCGCCAGTGACATTTCAAAGACTCGTGGACCAAACATTACAAGGGCTTAGGGAATTCACAGTAGCATACATCAATGATATAGGAATATATAGTCAAACGTGGGAAGATCACCTGTACCATATCGAGACAGGACTACAAAGGTTAAACAAGACTGGGCTAACAGTGAAAGCTAGTAAATGCGAGCTGGGTAGTTCCAAATTAAAATACTTAGGACATATAGTAGGGGGAGGTATAATTGAACCCCTAGAATCAAAAATTGAAGTAATCAGTAAGTGGCCTAAACCTACATCAAAGGAAAAAACAGATCTTTCTTAGGGTTAGTTGGCTATTATTGGCACTTTATACAAAACTTCACTGAGATAGCTGAAGTTTATCTGACTTAACACATAAAAGAAATGCTGAAAAGATCCAGTGGACGAGTGACTGCGAGGAGGCCTTTGGGAAGCTGAAGACTGCATTGATAACCAGTCCTGTCCTGAGAGCTCCTGATTTCTAGCGAGAGTTCACCGTCTTCACAGACACAACCAACATCCAGCTGGGAGCCGTGCTGAGCCAGGCAGATGACAACAGAGAGCAACATCCAATGACGTTCCTGAGTAAGAAACTGCAGGCAGGTGAGAGACATCTGTCCACAATCGAATGCGAGTGTCTTGCAATCGTATGGTCATTACAGAAGCTCAAGCCATACATATGGGGAAGACATTTTGTTCTTTGCACAGACCATTCCCCACTTCTGTGGCTGAGAACTATAAGGATGAATAATAGCAAGTTAATGAGGTGGGCCCTACTGCTACAGGACTTTGATTTCGAAACCCAGAGTGTGAAAGGGATTCAAAATGTAGTGGCTGACTCTTTGTCACAAAGACCAGAAGACTGATCGATGAAAAAGAAGAAATAAGTAACTTAGAATGTAATAAATGGGTCTAGTTATGTATAAATAAAAGAAGGAATTAAAAGTATAATTTTTCTGATGAATTAATGGTAAGTAATGATATAAGTAACAGTAACAGTATTGTAGTAAATAAATTGTAAGTAATGCAAATGTTGATTAATGTATTTTAAATGGGTAGAGTGATAATATTTTTAAAATCGTAATCAACAATAACATGCATGTCTATACTGTGTAAAAGAGTAAATAGAAAATTGATTTAAATGTGTAACTGAAGAATGTATTGAAAAATTGTTTGAAATATTGCTAAGTGTTTCCTATGTTGTTCATAAGGGTAAACTACTGTAAGTTTTACCCCATGAAACCACCTTTCCAAGGGGGAAGGTATGTGGTGAAATGCCCACATCATTCCTGTCCATCATATGGAGCATCATTTGGAGCAAAAATTAATATAAGACCCTGTCTTATTTTCAGGGAAACATGGTAGTACATGTTGGACAAGGATGGCAGGAATCAAGGTGTGGAGGGTGAAACCTTGGAGGAGGGAGATGAAGAACTGAGTTATCCTGCCAGCTTTATAAGGCAAACATTTATAAGGCAAAGCATATTGTTGTTTCAACCTATATGCTGCCCTATAGTGCTAGAGCACTCTCTGAATGGTTTACAAATTATGCAAGGAACACTTTCCTCCCCTGTGAACTGAATACTCATTTTACTGACTTCGGAAGGATGGAAAGCTGAGTCAACTTTGATCCAGCTATCTGAACCCATTAATATCAAATTCAAGTCATGAACAGAGGCTTGACAGCAGTACTGCGGTTTAACCATAGCACCATGGGGTCACTTTTAAAAAGTACACCAATATATGAACTATATTAACATGCACTTAAAGTAGAAAACAAACCCCTCATGAAGATTCATTTAACTCTACATTAAGAAGGGAAACTGTCGCAAAATAAGCAGCTTATATCAGATACCAGCAAACTGCATTGTCATCAAAGCACTGCCTGATTTTAGAAGATTCTCATATACTGCACAATAGCTTGCTTGACAGCTATGGAAAGTTTCTGTCATACATCAATAAAAATTATGTTATATCCACACAGGATATTAATGCAGTGACATGTTTGCAATTATATTTATATAAGACTGTACCTCTGTTGCATATAATTTTTTGGTCACTGAAAAGGTATCTCCACCAGGATAAGTATACACAATCCAGCAGAAAATCATAGAATTTGATTTTCAGCCTCTCTTAATAGTTTCACCTAGGGTGCTGATTACTTATTGTCAGATGCCCTTTAAAAAAGCATGCCTCATGGTCAGTGAACAAACAAAGCCGATAGAAGAATAGAGTGATATGTGCATCTGTCCCCAATCCCTGGACTTTTTTAATGGGTCAAAGAGGCAAATGGGAAATTAGTGCAGAAAGTCTAAGACACCCCCCTTTCCCCCAGCACTCTGATCTTAATTGCATACACACATATACACAGATAGTGATTAATGAATTTTATTTTAGAATTTTATTTTATTCTTATTTTAGATCAAAGAAGAACCCATTCACAGATCTCCCATCACTTCTCGTTTGGCCCACAACAACATGGCTTCTTATCTTTCATTCCATTCTTGAACCCCCGCACATCTTTTTATCTTCAAGCTGTGCATTTCAGTTTTATTGGAGCTATTGCTTGCTTCACATGCAGAGCTTAGGAGAGATGAAATCATAAGCTGCTGGGAAATCGGTAGGTATCTTAACATCTGACACTGCATCAGAAATAGGAGCGTGGGCTAACTAAAGCAATGGTTCTTAACCTTTGATTCTCCAGATGTTTTTGACTTTCAGCTCTCACAAGCTCCAACCAGCATGCATAATGGCTAGGGATTTAAAAGTCCTACACTTTTAAGGGCTGCAGGATATCGTTCTTCAAGTGTGCACTTGCAGTTCATCTCCATCCAGGGGGATACAAAAGGAGCCTCACTGAAGAATGCAATGGCTATGAGCCCATTTAGTCATCTCTTAGGCAACAACAGCACCATCTTGGATGATCCTTCCACTGGGGAAATACCACTGGATTGCTTCTGAAATGAACAAAGATCTCCATCCAAGACCAGATGTAGCTTTGAAGACCACCTGGCACATTGCTCCCCAAGAAAATAAAAGCTGAGTAGTTTGGTGCTGTGTGAAGTTGACTAAGAATATATCAAATAATGGGTAGAATCTTGGTGGGATGCAAAGAGAGCCATTCATTTGGCTGCAGCTGATTATTACTCACTCACATTTATTTTCATAGTAGACAAAATCCTGTTCGCGTAAAGTTATACAGTAGAAGCTGATGACCCTCTTCCTGAGGCTCTCAAAAGCTTCCCCAGGGCAAAAGGCAGTCTTAAGGTGCCTCAGAATCTAAAACAAGAGGGGATTTTTAAAATTAGTTTTTGTTAAATATTACCAGTGCCAGCTAATGACATCATTAGCTTCCACTACTAACTTTACACAAACAAGATTTTCCCTACTATGAAAAGCAAATATGAGTACCAATCAGTTGCAGACCATTCTACATCTTGCTACAAGAATACGCATGTACTGTATCCCTAAAACGGAATGCTTTTCAGCTAGACACAGAGAAATGTCAAACATCTTCAGCTACCAAATTCCTATAATAAACATGTGAACAGAATGAGAAGTATGCTGTTTCACCCAGAAATGGCCTTAGCCCTCTTGCCTGTCTGTGTCAGGTGCTTCCAACACAAAAGCATTACCGAGCAAGCACCCCCAGCAACAGTCATTAGACCAGGGATGGGTGATGCCTTTGGGTTGTAGAGCTATACTGATTGCCTTATAACATTTGAGGCATTCTCTTAATGTGATGGCTGATGAAACAGATGGGTCTGCAATGGGTGATGGAGTGACAAAAAATAGAGCAGTGGCCAGGTTTTCATGATGTGATACTGGTAAAACCACTTCTTAAATAACCCACTTACCTTGAAAGCCCTATTAGAGTGACTATAAGTCAGTGACTTAAAAGCTCATAACACCAACAACCAATTCTGGCAGTAATGAGACAGCTCAGAAAGGGATATAAAAATGGCCTTTGGGCTGCATATGACCCATATACCACATGTTTCCACTCTGAACTAAAGACCACTGCCGTGCATATATGCCTTATGTATTGTAACATATATGCCTTATGTATTGTATTAAGAGCAATCTTAATACTGTAGGACTTTCAAGATAATTCAGGTATCTGAGTGATTTCATCAGTGCTAGCACCACCATTCTATTGAATTTCTATGGCTGAGTAGGGATGCTATGCCAGGTATGTCCTGAATCTTAGTCCATGATTCTATCCATTACTGGGTATCTTAAGTCATACCACAGGATCACAAAATTACAATTATACATATTTCTGCATTTTTGTATACAGCTTAAACCCACAGTTTTTTCTTAAATGGGAAATGCAGAGATAAAATTAAAATAGGGAGGATTCTATCAAGTAATAATTAAAGGCAAGTGAACGTGCAGAAGAGAGCAGGAGAGAATAAATGTAATGTAATGTCTGATGTCCACTCGCAATGGGATCCCACTGGATAAGCAGCCAAAACATATTAGGAGTGAACATGGGACTGGGGCCCTACGACAACTTCAGCTATAATAGAGCCATCAAATCATGTGGATTTACAGACATACAGACTCACCATCCACCAACTAATTCAATAGATCTACTAAAATAAACAGAGACACCCAATGTGGTGTAGTAGGTAAGAGTAATGTACTGAAACTGAGGAGGCCTAGGTTCAAATTCCCTCTCAGACATGGAAATTGGGAATGCAGAACTGGTAAAACCAATCTTTAAATATCTCACTTACCTTGAAAGCTCTGTTAGGGTCACTACAAGTGGGAAGAGACTTGAATGCATGTAACAAGTGTAATTGATGCTAAATTGGATTTAGGACATTGCAATTATGATTTTTGCATGCTTTGGATAAAACTGGGAAGAGACTTGAATGCATGTAACAAGTGTAATTGATGCTAAATTGGATTTAGGACATTGCAATTATTCCCCATAAAGATTTTTGCATGCTTTGGATAAAACCACTTCCTTGGAATGGAAACCCATAATGCTATTGTCTCTTTCAGGTTGATTTAAAAACAATAAAAAAGCCCAAGACGTAACAGGAAGAAAAATGCCCTACCCCACTGTATTTCACATCTCTAATTTTATACTTATATTTCACATAAACAGAAGAGTAAAAATACATCTATGACATGCAGTGTAGATGTGGTATAAGTACACCTTTCTGGAATAGGTACATGCAACAAAACACAAGCATCTGTAAGACACACAACAATGTTAGCCTTATTGAAATAGCAATATAAGAGACTTCTGGGTTTTGTTGTTGCTGTTTTGGGATCAAGTTGTATTGTCTTTTTTTCATTCCAGCATGGACTGTATTCCATTTATGGAACCCATCATATGTGGACAACTGCAAAGCTGGGTAAGATAACAAGCAGATATAATGGCTTAAATACTGTTGCATAGTGCACTGGTTCTTAACCTTGGGTTACTCCGGAGTTTGGGACTACAACTCCCAGAAGCCTTCACCACCAGCTGTGCTGACTCGGGTTTCTGGGAGTTGCAGTTCAAAAGCATCTGAGTAACAAAGGTTAAGAACCACTGGCTTAATGTACTAAGTCACTACTAGAGTAGGGCCTTTGAATCACTGGGGATTTGGTGAGTTGGCTCCTCTGTAAGTTCAATTGTATTCTACCTGCAACTTACTTTAGTGTAGTAAAATGCAACTAGAGTAGGCCAATTTGAATCAATGGAATTTATAGAGGAGCTGACTCACCAGATCCTCACTAATTCAATGGGCCTACTCTATAGCAATTTTTTTTACCGAGCAAAAAAGATTTAAGCAAATGATTCCAAGCTAAGATTTGATGCTGGTTTTAACAATAAAATTGCTTATCTTGATTTTGTTTCCATGAGCAACCATAGGAAGCACATGGGAATTACCATTCGCCAACAAACAACTGGAAACAGCAGACACACCTGATGCCATCCAGCTTGCTGGCTCACTTCACTATTATCTCCCATTGTGCCTTTACACTTATAATTGGATGTTCCTGTAACTTATTTTGGCCCTTGCCAGCAACAAGAACACAAAGAAAAGACTAAGACTTCACAGCAACAAGTTATGTATTGAAATAGCATGAGTAGGACATGTACCTGGAAATTAGATGGCCATTTTCTCTCACACACTCTTCCTGTCCCCTCCCTCATCTCTGAAGAATTTCACACAACACTGCCTACTGATGTTACTGAGGACAAAGTATGAGCCCCTCACTCAACACAGTGAAATCCTGCCCATCCCTCTTGCCAATATAATTTTGGCAGTCGCCCAACTCCTAGCAGCATTTCTACTAATATTTTCACTGTCCCTAAAACCAACTATAATGAACAAGTCTGTTTCCATGGAAACAATACAGTGACTCAGGGCTTTGGGGCTGGCTCTAAATATGATTGTCAATAGCAAAAGCTCCAAGAGATTCAGGATTCAAAAGGAGTAAGAATGAAAGGTGTTCTGTCCATAAAAGTGAACATGCTCACCCTACACAGTGTTATGTAAACAAAGGGGAATGCAAGAACACATGTGGCTCAAGCCCACACCAGAGCCATCCAACATGAGACTGCTGCATCTTCTGAGAGTCAGAACAGAAGCATATTTATTAAAAGGTATACATCAGGTTACTATGGAAGATGAGCCAAGCTGGCAGTCATTTTTGTAGGTTTGACACACTTGAATGTACACAGCATCATATTCAAAGTTCAAGTGTCTATATGGAACCCATAAAATTCACACCACTGCCTCCCCTATAGTATGCAACACTGCTATTCATCTTAAACTTTCATCCGCTGGAATATTTGGGGAATAGCACCTGCCTTTCAAAGAAACGAAAAAGTAATTTTCCAAACACTTTCAAGTAGGAATTTAAATTGAAGTGTTTGTCAAAGATGAAAAAGAAATATTTTCTTAGCTTTGATAAACTGAAATGCAAATTCACTCTGCTCAAAGCCTGATCTCAGAAACAAGATGAGCACCTTTCAACAACAAGTGGATAAATAATGTGTTTTAACATCCAGCACCTTCTCTTTACAGAGCCCATCACCTTTTTCAAAAAAGCTAAAGATTCATATTTCAGCCTTCTTGGTCACCGAAGCATCAGGGCAGCTAACCCATATTTCCATTATCTAATTCAGTTTCTCAACAATTGTGTGAGGAAAATCATTACGAGGTCAATGTCGAATTGACACTGATAAAAAATTCCCAAGGCCTACCCACCTTTTAAGGCCATTGACAAGATGGATCATGTCCAAGGAGCAACCAAGATAGTGCTAGGTCTGGAAACAGGTCCTATAGTTGAAAGAGCTGGATATATTTAGCCTGGAGAAGAGAAAAATAAAGGAAGAGATTACAATGCTCCTTAACTACCCGAGGGTTTACTTTGCATCATTTCTGGATAGAAAGGATTAGCCAGCTGCTCAGGGGATCCCCAAGTGTACTCGAAGTGCTTTCCACTCTTCAGGGAGGCTCCAAGCATAAAATATTTGGAGCAGCAGCTATTACAGTGGCATATGATACTGTCCACCATCAATTGCTGCACAGAAAACTCTATCTCCTTACTAAAGATCATGGGCTAACAGAGATGGTCACCGTACTTCAAAACCAAATATGCCTCATTGAATTTCATGAAAGGCATAATCACTGGAGAAATCAAAGAATCAGTCTCCTACAAGGTAGCGTCCTGGCACCACAACATTTTAACATTTACACAAATTATCAACCAATGTTCCCATACTCCAGGAGTTTCATCTATGCTGATATTCTTGCCTTTACAGTCCAAAGAGAATTTTTTAATTCCATAGAGCACCACCTAACCTCTGCATTAGAAGGTATATTTTTATGTTATAAAAACAATCAGAGAAACTAGAACCTTTAAAAACACAGGTCTGTGCCTTCCACTTAAAGAACTGAGAATCAAAGAGAAAGCTCACAGTTAACTAAGTAGGCAAAATTTTGGAACATTGCCATACTCCAAAGTATTTGGGCATCGCTCTGGATTGAACCCTGACCTACAAAAAAAATTGTTAAAACATTGAAAAGGAAGTTCTCGCCAGAAGTAACAGGAAATTGGCTGGGTCAGATTGGGATGCTCACCCACAAACAATAAGAACAACAGCTTTGTCCCTGTGCTATTCCACAGCAAAATACGCTAGTGTCAGATGGTATAAATCTGAGCGGATTTGATTTAAATCAAGTCAATTTAAATCATGATTTAAATCAGTAAGACTTGGTTTAAATCATGATTTTTAAATGTAAAGACTCATTCTTGCTGGTAGTTATAATCTTTAGTATTTTCAACCAGACGAAGATTTCAAATTTGGAATAATAACCTGTCAGATTAGCAAAACAGCTACTGTATATCAGAACTGAAGTGGGTTCAATAGGTTAATCACTCATATTTGAAGAACTACCGTTTTCCCCAAAATAAGACCTAACCTGAAAATAAGCCCTAGTATGATTTTTCAGGATGTTTGTAATATAAACCCTACTCCAAAAGTAAGCGCCAGTTAAGTGAAAAACTGCCCTCCACCATTGTGCAGCAACCAGAAGAAGATGACAGGACTGTATTTGAATGAATGTAGATTGTTATACATGAACAAATATAAAACATCCCCTGAAAATAAGCCCTAATGCGTTTTTTGGAGCAAAAATTAATATAAGACCCTGTCTTATTTTCGGGGAAACAGGGCAGATTTACAAAACAACACTGGGATCAAAGTCTCTTCCTGAACTTTGATTATTTTATACCATTTTTACTGTGAAAAGTGCATGTTATCTCAACTTGGATAAGCCTTGCTTAATTGAATTATTTTACAAAGAATGTAAATATTGCATGAATATACGGCCTCATGCTACATAACCACACAACTAAGCTCTATTTCTTGCTGAATAACCTTTGAGCTACAATGTATCTCAAACAGAAAACTATCTTTAGATAGATTTTCCTCCAAAAGCATTTCATTACAATAAATCCAATTAAATTTTAAAAATCCTATTTCAAGTTTAAAAATCTGATTTTTAAAAAATTAAAAACCATTGATTTTAATACACCCTAGTATAAATAGGCACACGCCAAACAACAGGATATGGCTCTTAATGGATCATGAAAGATTATTACTGGCTACTTGAAACCTACTTCCATTGAAGACGTCCATTATTTGGTTGGCATTGCCCCTCAAGAAGTAGGTTGAGAGGTACTAGCAAATATGAATGAAATAAAGTACAGTAATACAGCACCAAACCCATTCACATCATGGACGCCAATCATCTAAACAATGGCTAAATTAAGGAAAAGTTTTCTGCACACATTTCAAGCTTAAATAGTAAACCAGAAGAGGCCAGTGAAGAAGTTCATTATTTGGTTGGCATTGCCCCTCAAGAAGTAGGTTGAGAGGTACTAGCAAATATGAATGAAATAAAGTACAGTAATACAGCACCAAACCCATTCACATCATGGACGCCAATCATCTAAACAATGGCTAAATTAAGGAAAAGTTTTCTGCACACATTTCAAGCTTAAATAGTAAACCAGAAGAGGCCAGACTAAATCTATGGAGAACAAAAATAATACACTGTGCTGAATGAATGAATGCTAAAGAGTGTCTCCCATCAGGACAAGATTCTAGCTGGACCATCTGGAAGTCACTTTATAGACTTCAAAGTAATGTAAGAAGTAATAAGATCAAAGAATAATCAAGCAAAATGGGTTACTTGGATACAAGACACATTTTCTGTGGAGAAATTCAATCAATGCAGCTTTTATGTGCATGCAATTTATGTCTGAGCACATGTATGATCTAGTAAATGGCTGAGATAAAGTGACTGAAGTAGCCCGCCTCTGGATAAAAAATAGTCAAATCATTTTAACATTTTAAATCTGTTTGAACTTTACCTATACAGTATTGCATATATGTCCATAATTTTAAATGGCACAATGCTCTGATATGAATAAAGAGGGGCTGTCAAGCAGAAATGGAAAACAACAGAGGTCTAGAGCCCGTTCACAGACGTTGCAAAAAGGTGGATTTCAGATTACCATTAGAAAAAAACTTCCTAAATCGAAGAGCTATTGATAACAGAGTAAACTGCTTCAGAAGGTAGTGCTTCTCTTTTGGTAGAAGTAATCAACCCGCAAGTTATATAACTTCAATGTTGGCAATGAAGAAATCAAAATGATCCTATCTTTAAAACAAACAGAAACTTCACCTAAGAAATTGGAAGAAGACTGAGACTGCGAACAGTAGGCATGAAGGAACTAGAAAACATCCTACGTTTAAGTATGTGTTGCTGGAAAAAGGCCAAGAGCATCCATATGCGTGTATTCTTCACTGCTATGTACAAATGTGAAAGTTGGATAATTAAAAAAAACAGGGAAAAAACTATTTTTGCAAAACATCATATTGCAGAAAAAACTTTATAGATACCATATGAATGCCAAAAAGACACAAAGGGGGGGGGTGTTCTAGATCAAATCAAGCCTGAACATTCGATAGATACAAAAATGGCTAAAATTGAGGCTATCATACTTTGGATATATTATAATACCATAATATATTCACTGGAAAAGACAACAATGCAATGAAGAGTTGAAACAGCAGGAAAGGAGGAAGACATAACATGAGATGAATCAGCACATTACAGGAATCCCTACTTTTTAGTCTGCAAGCCCTAAGCTGGGCTGTTAATGATAGGACCTTTCAGAGACCAGCAAATTCACAAGATCCCCATATACAGTGGTGCCTCACAAGATGAATTTAATTCATTCCGCGGTTAATGTTGTCTTGCGAAAAATTTGTCTTATGAAATACATTTTCCCATAGGAATGCATTGAAATCTAATTAATGTGCTCCTATGGACAAAAAAATGTCAGAACAAAGTCAAATTTGGTTTACAAAGGGTTTATTAAGTGCTATTTAAAGCCATACATATTGTACAGATGATTTCAAAAATTTCAGACCAAAAATTTTAACTTTTTAAATATCATAGAAAAACATTTAAAAACCAGCAAAGATGAGGTAGGAACAAAAAACGGAAAACATTCATCTTGCAAAGCACAGCCATAGGAACATTGATCTTGCGAGTCATCAACCCCATTGCCAAAACCATTTGTCTTGCGAATTTTTTGTCCTGTGAGACATTTGTCGCGTCCAGTGGGAGGAGTTCCAAAGCAACTTCACACCATGTGGCAACAATGACTAGTCCTCATGCACCAGATTTTTTAAACTTCCATTGAGCGAACTGTGAAGTATTTTCTGATCCTAGCGAGAGTTCCAATATATAGACGATTATCACAAGGGTCAATGTTGTGAGTTAGAGTTAGTTGAAGGGTTTTATTGTACACTTTGTTTATTTTCTGAACCTACCAGGAATCCCAAAGTTGCTACTTGAGCCAACCTACTGACAGAGAATGCCACTTCTGATTCTTGGTATCACACTCCACTTTAAAAACAGCAGACTTTGTTTTTCCCTCCACTAGGTTATCTCAAGGTGAAAAGGCCATAGATTTGTTGAGAATTTTTTCCATCTTTAAATTGTTTACTAGCCAAAACAAAAAGTACACAGCAAGTGGCTGAAATCTGAGACAATCTGCATTTGTTATGGTGACAAGGCTAGAGTACCTACATTATAAATCTAGTTCTATGTCGATTCTGCAACAAAATATGATCCCAAGGGACCAACCTGACCCGCCCTAGTGCATGAGGGTAAACCAAATGACCAGGAATACTGTAACTGTATCCTGTATTGCAGAGCTTGTTCTGAACTGAGCTTGGACTAAGGTAGTAATGAAGAACCACTTAGCCTACTAGATGTTTTGGACTTCAGTTCCTAAAATCCCCAGCCAGCACAGCAAATTATAACTGTGGGAATTGTAGTCCAAAACAACCTGATGGCTAACTGTTCCCCATCACTGGACTAGGACAGCTCCAACTCTATGATTCTAATAATTCCCATCTATGAAATAAATTGCTAACAGAAAGCTTGCCTGAAAAGAAAGGTCTCCATCTGCTGGCGGAAGGACGGTAAAGATGGGGCCAGCCTGGCGTCCAGTGGGAGGAGTTCCAGAGAGTCTGGGAGCAGTGACAGAGAAGGCCTTCACCCATGTCCCCACCAAACACACCTGTGAAGGTGGTGGGACTGAGAGAAAGGCTTTCCTTGATTGTCTGAACAAAATCCAATGATTTTTACCACAGTTGCTAGGGCAAGGCAATCAAGTTGTTCCTGATAGCTACCTGTATGGCCCATTTGTATAGGTTCCCTCCCTCCTCAAAACTAAGCAGAAGAGCAAAGTGGATGGAACCAAGTCCCCACTTTTTTCCCCA